TTGCATTCAATGGCATTAATATCCATTGAATGACAGTTCGCTCTATGGCGAGGGGCGCTAAAATGGTGATGCTTGCAAATGTAATCGCCAGTGCTATGCATTTTCGAAAGAAAGAAAAGAAAATGAACTCTCCGCAGAATCGCTTCATTTCGAGCAATATAATTTTCGTGTAAGTCATTGTGTTTCTTGTTATCGAGTCACGATGAACATTCCTCCTTTCAAACATCACTTGACTATCGCTTGTTTCGTTCGTCAAGTGCTTCAGTTCATTTCATTTGAAGCAATGACTTGTTTCAATTGACGCAATGAATGAGTCGGAAACTGCTTCCTCCGTTTTTTCCACTTTCACTTCCATTCTGGCTCATTCGACTTGTCACGCATCGCGTCGTCAAGCATAAAAATATAGTATCCGCACAATATCGGTTGCCGATAGGGATGGTATCCGGATTATATGTAGTAATAATATACTATTTTATGTCAAACGAAAATTAAATTAACACGGCCATTCTGGAGTTCAAGAAGGCGGCCATCGGGGTCAGCAAAAGTCTCAAATACCCTACAATATGGGTATTTTCGGAACGGGGACGACGCGAAGGTGTCGAAAATCGATATCCGACGCTATTTTGGAATCCAAAATGGCAGCCATAATAGGATATTTTCCTCGATATTTTCGGAACGGGGATGGCACGTAGATGCTGAAAATCGATATCCGACGCCATTTTGGAATTCATAATAGTGAAAATTGGTTTTCGGAAGTGTCAAACACCCTAAGATATGGGTATTTTAGGAACGGGAATAAAGCGTAGATGTCAAAAATCGATATCCGACGCTTTGTTAGAATCCAAAATGGCGGCCATCAGGATTAAGAAAGTGTCAAATACCCTACAATATGGGTAATTTCGGAACGGGGACGATCCGTAGATGCCAAAAGCCGATATTCGACGCCATTTTGGAATCCAAGATGGTGGCCATCAAGTTTCATAAAACGTTTTAAAAACCCTAAGATATTTTCGGAACGGAGACAACGCATGGATGCCGAAAATCGATATCTGACGCTATGTTGGACTCCAATATGGTGACCATCGGGTTTCGGAAAAAGTGTCAAATACCCTACATTATGGTTATTCTCGGAACGGGGACAACGTGTAGTTGCCGAAAATCGATATCCGATGCCATTTTGGAATCCAATATGGCGGCCATCAGGTTTCATATAAAGTGTCAAATACCCTAATATCAGGTTTTTTTTTGGAACGGGAACCTTTCCGATTCCCACGACGCGTAGATGCTGAAAATTGGTATTCGGTGCCATTTGTAGGCCATCATCTTCTGAAATCGGAAGCCACCATCTTGAATTTCAAGATGGCGTCGGACATCGATGTCTGGCTTCTAGATGTCACTCGAATTCCAAAAAACCCACATGGATCGGTATTTGACAGTATTTCACAGTTTCTCTGAACCAAAGTCAGCATCTTGGATTTAAAGACGGTGTGACATCAATTTTCGGCATCTACGCCTCATCTCTATTCTGAAAATAACCATATTTTAGGGTATTTGACACTTTTCCGTAAATCGGAAGTCCCCGTCTTGGTTTTCAAAATGGCGTCGGATATCGATTTCCGGCCTCTAGACGCCATCCCGATTCCAAAAATACCTATATTTTGATGGGTATTTGACAATATTTCCCATTTGTTCTCAAATAGGAAGCCGCCATCTTGGATTTGTAAATGGCGTCGCATATGTAGACTACATACTGATTACAAAAATGTCAATATTGATGTGTATTTGTCTATATTTCCACTTTTTCTTAAGTCGAAAGCCGCCATCTTCTATTTCAAATGTCGTCGGATTTCGATTTTCATCCTCTAGACAGCATCCCGATTCCAAAAATACTTTTATTGATAGGTATTTGACAGTATTTCCTACTTTCTATTAAACTGGAAGCCACCATATTGGATTTAAAAATGGCGTCGCATATCAATTTTCGATCTCTAGACGTCACCTCGATTAAAAAAATACACACATTGATGAGTAAACATGCCACCGACAATGATAAATTTGACATCCACGTGCACAGATCTATGCGCATACGCTTTAATGAACCGAGTGAACAATCAATAAAAGTCATAAAAACTGCGCGAGTTTGGATCGAACAGCTTCGCTTCAATGCAAAAGTAAGTTCATTTGACAATGAAAGAAGAAATGAACACGAGTCAAGCCAACACAAACAGCATGAAAACTGATCGAAAGTGGTTCTGTTGATGTTGACAGAGAAGACAGAATGACTTTCAATTGAAAGTGATGGTTTACAGCTTCATCGTCGCTTGACGATTTAGATTGAAAGTGACTTTGTGGGGCCCTGGTAATCATGGTAACATGATTTAACATAGTTCCTGTGCACCAAAATTTATGAAATTTTGGATTTAGGTTCCATTTTAAATGTAGATTACGAATATGCAAAACCATCAATACCCCTAAACAACCCAAATTGGGTTCGAAATCTGCATTAAAAATGGAACCCAAACATTTACCAATTTTGGTACACTGGAACTATTATAAATAAGAACGATTACAATTGCAAAAATCACCTTATTAGCACCCCTCGGTGTCACTTTGTATGGGAGCGAGCTGTCAGTTTGTCAGTTTAGTGTCAAACAGTGAAGTTATTATTTTACTTTAAGGTTCAATTTACTTAGATGCTTTTTGGAAAATTTCAAAAGCAGTTTTTTCCGACGCATTGTTTCAGATTGCAAAAAGCTCACGTCATTTTGTGTAAAATATCAAAAGGAATCGAATAGTGCGAGCTTTTTGCAATCTGAAATAATGCGTCAGAAAAAACTGCTTTTGAAATTTTCCAAAAAGCATCAAAGTAAATTGAACCTTAAATCTTGATTTAAAAATTGAGATGAAAGTGTGTTGGATCGAAAAAAAAATATCGCTGTGCTCAGAAAACGAAGCTCTTTCAGATGATGTATAAAAACCGATATATTTTTCAAAATTAAAGAACCCCATTGATCATTTGGAAGCAGACGCGCATACGTAGCCACGTAGGTACTCAGAATTCACTTATTTTCACAATAAACAACATCAATTTTCTTAGGGTACCCATTTTTCCCCTACCATTATCGACATAAATTTTGTAATGAATGAAAAAATGTGAAATTCCACATAAAGGGTGATACGGTCAAAATTTGGTCAATATCAACTTGACGTATTTCTTTCAATTTTGCATTTAAAAAAACCTGAACACCCCTCATTTTGAAGGTGTGTGTGTGTAGAATGTTGCTCCTATTTTGATTTTGGAATTCACTCTTCAGTTGTCAAAATGCCGTCCAAGCAAGAAGAGCAGCGTATCAAAATTTTGCTCGCGCATCGCGAAATTCCGAGCTACTCGCACGCAAAGTTGGCAAAATCGCTAAAAGTTGCCAAATCAACCGTTAAAAATGTAATTAAAGTGTTTGGGGAACGCTTGTCGACAGCCAGGAAGTCTGGATCGGGGGGAAATCGAAAACTGGAAGCCGCTGAGACGACAAAGAGAGTTGCCGGTAGTTTCAAGCGAAACCCTAACCTCTCTCTCCGAGATGCCGCAAATACGCTGGGCTATCTATTACCGGACTATCTTGGGCCGGACTATCGACTTACAAGAAGGTAGTGACTCCAAATCGTGATGATAAACAAAATACGACGGCCAAAGCGCGATCCCGGAGGCTGTACACGACGATGCTGACGAAGTTTGACTGCGTGGTAATGGACGACGAAACCTACGTCAAAGCCGACTACAAGCAGCTTCCGGGACAGGAGTTTTATACGGCAAAAAGAAGGGGAAAGGTAGCAGATGTTTTCAAGCACATTGAACTGTCAAAGTTCGCAAAGAAATATCTGGTTTGGCAAGCCATCTGTACCTGTGGCTTGAAAAGCAGCATTTTCATAGCTTCCGGGACTGTCAACCAAGAAATTTACGTGAAAGAGTGTTTGAATAAACGTCTGCTGCCTTTCCTGAAGAAACACGGTTGTTCCGTACTGTTTTGGCCGGATTTGGCATCTTGCCATTACGGTAAAAAGGGCATGGAGTGGTACGCCGCCAACAACGTGCAGGTGGTTCCCAAGGACAAGAACCCTCCCAACACGCCAGAGCTCCGCCCAATTGAGAAATACTGGGCTATTGTCAAGCGGAACCTAAAGAAGACCAAAAAAACTGCTAAGGGCGAGCAGCAGTTCAAGGCAAACTGGCTTTCTGCGGCGAAGAAGGTGGACAAGGTGGCTGTACAAAATCTGATGGCAGGGGTCAAGCGTAAGGCCCGGCAATTCAGATTTGGAAAAGCGGAAGCCTAACTGAATATTTTTCCTGAATTTTATACTAATTGAACTTGAAAAAGAAATTTAATTTGATTTTTTAAATAAACGATTTCACCGATTTACACGCGTTTTCCCTTGACCAAATTTTGACCGTATCACCCTTTAGGGTCGAAAACTAGCACACTCACCCTAGGTATAATCTATTTTTTTACCTTTCCTCAGATACGGGATGCCATGGACGTTCGAGATGTGCCTAACTACATGAGAAGCATAGGATTCCACATGACACAATTCGAGGTGAGCTTTCCTATTTTATAGAATCTTGACAACCTTCTCTAAAATCCACCATTACCAAATTGCAGGAGGACAATCTGGGTAAAGAAATCGAACAAATGGGAATGTTATTTCTTACCTTCGAGGAGGTTGTGAAACTATTCCTGAACCACCGAACATTGATGAACCCCGGTTGCGAAGAGATACGGGCTGCGTTGACTTTGATTGCAAAAGGGGTTTTCGATCCAGTAGACCTCAAAGCATTCAACGAACAATTGGCAACGCTTGGCGAAAAAGTCGACTCAAAAACGATGACTTTTTACTGTAGGACCTTGTTTCCCGAATACACCCCTGACGAGGAGTCCGAAGGATTTCTCGTTCCTTTGGATGAATTGGTGGAAAAACTGTGCTAATAAGAAAGGATTAAAGTAGGATTTGTGTTTGGCATATCTCTTTATTTTAAATCTTTTTTTCATTTGTTGGTTTTACATTTTCATTAGATATCTATAGGAAAATCACTTATCAAAAATATACCCTTTTTGGAACAGTTTTCTTACGAGCTAACATTAGACATGAAGCGATGACTAACACAAAAATGGTTGACATAATTCAACCCCTACCCGACACTAGTCAATAAGGATCAGTTCTATGGCAATGGAGCAAGTGGATGGAGAAACCTATCAAATTTGCTTGAACGGCAAATATTGGAAGAAACTTAATACACTATTTACAAACTACTGAAACCTGCTCATACCCTAGCATTCTTCCACGATGAGTTGAAAGAAACAACAAACTAGGAAATTATCCTTTTGAACATCGACTTTTCTTTTCTTACGTTACGATGGTGCTTATATTTTAAAATCACAAAATTTTCGTCGTTTTTCACTTTTTGTTAACATTGGATTTCGTCCGCAGTTTATTCTGCATTTTGACTCTATTTTCTCAGAGCGAACCGTGCATCTTCCTTCTGTTTTGGATTTGCTATTTGATCATTGACATTTACACATTTTAACATACTTTCTTCGTTCGAGCCGATCGTTCGCATTTCGAAAGGCACGCTTCTCATCAACAAGTTTCACAGCTTCCATTTGTATCTTGATGTTGGTTTCATATTTCTAGATTACCATTAACAATTTCGAACACTTAAAATTTACGATTAATTTAGTTCAACTTTTGCTTCAAAATAATGTAACTGTGTAACACTTTAATCCTGACAAACCTAAAATACAAAAGAGTTCTGTTTGCAAATACTTAGCAGTTCAATAGAGAAAGAAAAGAAAACAATACTAGAAAAGAATTTAGAAAATTAAAAAATTCGAAAAACTAAGTGAGAAAAGTAAAATGTAAATTTTGAGTAGAAAGATAATTCCGAAAACAATAAAAATACCAAAAATAAAATTTTATAAAACAATTTCGATGTCCGTCTGCGCGGTGCTGCTTTTGTGATATATCCGATTGCGTTATTGTTGAATCCTTAGAGTATAACGCCATGAGTGTCCGCATTCTTGAGAATTTCTCGCTTGTGCACGATGATTTTGTCGGCTGCCTTTCAGTATTATTATCGATCGGTGGTATCCTTATTCTGTTTCTCGAATATCGCGCTCCCAGGTTCAGTATTCCTTGCTCTTGCTGTTGTCCCGGATGCCGCGTCGCGTGGTGATTAGGTTCGTGGACCGCTTCTTGCGTGAATAGGATCGTAGCTTACGGTCTGATACCGTCAGTTCGCGAGTGGCACTGCTTCGGCATTTGCGGGTACCTGCAATGAGATTGACGTGTTATGAAATTTGTGCGATTGTTTTAAGAAAACCGAGTGACGATATTTTTCCTACAGGAACTGATAGCTGACTTATTCGTTTAAGATAATCTAAGAAGATAATTTTGGCTTCTAAAACCTATAAGTATCGTGAGGATTTTGTGTGACATCGATCTAATTTTGACAAACTAATAAATTAATAAACGTATTAGTTAACCCGATTATACATTTGCGGAAAACCGTTTAGCGGAATCCCATTTTCCGGAATAAGACATGTAAATAATACAAGTAAATGTGTAAATTGTACCAACCGGATTCAATGTAAATAAAACCATATTGATCCACCGGGCAGGTGAATAGAACCTTTGTTCCACAGTGAAATCTCAATTTTGATATTATTCCTAGATAGAAAAGGCCTTAATAGTTGTTTTTATTTTTATTGGTCTCAGTTTCTATACACAGTCCAATTGAACACCAAATCCACATACGACAGTCGATCGAGATCAGCTATGGCAGATTTGTCACGAGTACGGATTCCCGGATAAACTGACGCGATTGGTCAACAATGGATCGAGTCATGTGCGTTGTTCGAGAATTCGGGGACACTCTCGAGTCCCTTTGAATCGAATCGAAGGGGGCTACATCACGGTGATGGACTTTCGTGTCTGCTTTTTAACATTGCTTTAGAAGGTGTGATCAGAAGAGCTGGGATAGACACTAGTGGCACGATATTCAGGAAGTCCATCCAGCGCCGATGACATCGACATCATGGCACGGGACTTTGAGACGATGGCGCAAACGTACATTAGACTGAAGGCTGAAGCTAGACGGATTGGACTTGCCATCAACGCATCAAAGACAAAATACATGAGAAGAAGAGGTTCTAGGGAAGACAATGTTAACATCACACCAAGAGTTCAGATCAGTGTTGGCAAAATCAAAAATCAATTGATATTTTTCCGCTTTCATGCGCTCGTAATATCACGACGCGTGATATTGGAACAAAATATCATACTTGATATTGATTTTACAAGCTCCTTTGATATTGCGAGACTATTCACAACGTGCAAAAATCAAGCTGAGAGTTGAGTCGACACGAAAATGATTCCATTACACATCGTTTTCTCAGAAAGAGAAAGCATAGTTTGCTATCTCTTTTTAATCTTCACCGATGGCAGACGCAAAGGGACTGCTGCAAGCCGTTATGGAAGTTTCGGTTGCATTCGGGTGTAATGCAAAAATCATTATACTCAATCTCACCACAGTTTGGTGAGATTTGCAGTTGGCGAGTTTTGTTAGCTTGATATTCCGAGCTGCGATATCACAGCTTGCAAAATCAACCGCAGTTGTTTGCTTGTTGATTTTTGTCTACGAAAATCAAGTGTGATCTTGGGCGTTGATGAGATTTGATTTTTTGATATTTTCCCAACACTGGTTCAGATTGACGGTGACGAAAATAATACCAGCAGAGAAATTCAAACAAGCATTATGACAGGGAATCATGCCTACTTTGGACTCCGGAGGACACTCCGGTCGAATAAAATTCGTCGCCGCACGAAGTTGACTGTCTACAAGACGCGGATTAGACCGGTGGTCCTGTACGGCCACGAGACCTGGACTATGCTCGTGGAGGACCAACTAGGTGTTTTCGAACGGATGGTGTTGCGTACCATTTACGGTGGAGTACAGATGGATGACGGAACGTGGAGGAACCGAATGAACCACGAATTGCACCAGCTGCTGGGAGAACCATCCATCGTCCACATTGCAAAAATTGGGCGACTAAGGTGGGCTGGGCACATCGAAAGAATGCCGGACGACGACCCAGTGAAAATGGTTCTCGAAAGCGACCCAATAAGAAGAAGAAGCGCTCAGCGGGTAAGGTGGATCGACCAAGTAGAAGGCGACCTACAGACTCTTTGCAGACTACGAGACTGGCGATGTGTGGCTATGGATCGAATAGAGTGGAGACGACTTCTTCGGACAGCAGAGGACAACAAGGCCTGGAAGGAATGAATGGTTTTTCATGAAAAATGTGTATGTTTACATTAGGAAGCATCAGCATTTATGAGTTAGAGAAAATATAATATTAGATAACGATGAGCCACTAATCTTGATTTGCTTCAGGGTTCTGTACCGTAAATTTCACGATCATTTGCACTGCCGTTCTACGCATATCAGTCCCTTGTTTAAAAAGTTGCTTCTGAGAAAATCGCAAATAATGTTTCGAATCATTTCTGCTCATTGGAAGAAATATAGGGGAAATGTATGTAATGTCGGCTTAAGTGTCCCTAATTTTGGCCCATAAAGGGTGATACCGTCAAAATTTGGTAAATATCAACTTGACGTATTTCTTTCAATTTTGCATTTAAAAAACCTGAACACCCCTCATTTTGAAGGTGTGTGTGTGTAGAATGTTGCTCCTATTTTGATTTTGGAATTCACTCTTCAGTTGTCAAAATGCCGTCCAAGCAAGAAGAGCAGCGTATCAAAATTTTGCTCGCGCATCGCGAAAATCCGAGCTACTCGCACGCAAAGTTGGCAAAATCGCTAAAAGTTGCCAAATCAACCGTTACAAATGTAATTAAAGTGTTTGGGGAACGTTTGTCGACAGCCAGGAAGTCTGGATCGGGGGGAAATCGAAAACCGGAAGCCGCTGAGACGACAAAGAGAGTTGCCGGTAGTTTCAAGCGAAACCCTAACCTCTCTCTCCGAGATGCCGCAAATAAGCTGGGTGTATCGTCTACAACCGTGCATCGAGCCAAAAAACGAGCCGGACTATCGACTTACAAGAAGGTAGTGACTCCAAATCGCGATGATAAACAAAATACGACGGCCAAAGCGCGATCCCGGAGGCTGTACACGACGATGCTGACGAAGTTTGACTGCGTGGTAATGGACGACGAAACCTACGTCAAAGCCGACTACAAGCAGCTTCCGGGACAGGAGTTTTATACGGCAAAAGGAAGGGGAAAGGTAGCAGATGTTTTCAAGCACATGAAACTGTCAAAGTTCGCAAAGAAATATCTGGTTTGGCAAGCCATCTGTACCTGTGGCTTGAAAAGCAGCATTTTCATAGCTTCCGGGACTGTCAACCAAGAAATTTACGTGAAAGAGTGTTTGAATAAACGTCTGCTGCCTTTCCTGAAGGAACACGGTTGTTCCGTACTGTTTTGGCCGGATTTGGCATCTTGCCATTACGGTAAAAAGGCCATGGAGTGGTACGCCGCCAACAACGTGCAGGTGGTTCCCAAGGACAAGAACCCTCCCAACACGCCAGAGCTCCGCCCAATTGAGAAATACTGGGCTATTGTCAAGCGGAACCTAAAGAAGACCAAAAAAACTGCTAAGGGCGAGCAGCAGTTCAAGGCAAACTGGCTTTCTGCGACGAAGAAGGTGGACAAGGTGGCTGTACAAAATCTGATGGCAGGGGTCGAGCGTAAGGCCCGGCAATTCTAATTTGGAAAAGCGGAAACCTAACTGAATATTTTTCCTGAATTTTATACTAATTGAACTTGAAAAAGAAATTTAATTTGATTTTTTAAATACAGTGCTAACATTTGAAAACGGCACAAAAGCCATTTGTAAACAAATGGTTTGTGGGCCCTTTACTCACTACTTGAAGTACACCCACGCGACACAACAGCAACATCGGGTAGGGGAAATTTTCCCCTTCCTGACGATGCTGTTGGTTTGCGTGGGCGTTCTTCGGGTAGCGAGTAAAGGGCCCACAAACCATTTGTTTACAAATGGCTTTTGCGCCGTTTTCAAATGTTAGCACTGAATAAACGATTTCACCGATTTACACGCGTTTTCCCTTGACCAAATTTTGACCGTATCACCCTTTACTTAAATTCACCAAAAGACCAAATTTTCAAAAGCAACCAAAAATATGCATTAGTACCGTCCCAATGACGCGTTCATCTAGATACAATTGATAAATAGCAGGTTTTTAGCGATGGGCCCAATCTTAGATCCATAGGCCAACATTAGAGCCATTTGCCGCATTGTTCACATTTCAACAGAATCAATATGTTTTAGTGAAAACTACAGAAATTACTTTCAATTAAATCAGTTAAGCCTATTTTTATACGAATAATATTTAATGGGACTGTTATGCCTAGAAATTTGCAATGAAGTAGGATATTCTACGCATGTTAGTTCCACTAGGAACTGTTACTTTTAGTGTTGCTTTGATGGTCACGTTGCGTTTGACGTCTTTACTTTTGTGCTTGCATGAGCGTGCTTGCGTTCTCCGCGAAGTTTTGGAAGATATGTATTGCTGATTGCATCTGAAACTGGACTGTCCCAAAAATGCAAAAAGTGTGATAGAAGTGCACATCGTTTTGATGTCTTGGGAGCACTTATTGCTTGCATCATAAGGAATAAGTGCACCGAAGACACCAAGACGATATGATGTAAACTTGCAATTTTATCACACTTTTTAATAAGTGAAAACGCGCTTATTAGTCCAATTTGGTGTGAAATGTGCAATAGTTTGTATAGCTTTTCATCATTAAATTATACCAACAATAAATTTGTTGACATTGCTACTTCTATAAAACTATTAAAAGTATGGGCATTTCAAGAAACTAATGATGAATGCACTATTTAGAACATAAACTTCTACTCCTTAGCAAGATGAACGTAGGCCTAAACTGCCGCTATTCGCATGTCCGTCCCATAGCGAAAATCAGTAAGCCGAGAAAATCACGTTTTAAGTTTGCTTCATACCATTGCTTCTTATGTGATGAGACAACTAATTTGACTGTATTTCCAAACTTTTTCAGAACAAAGTTGTTGAGTTCATCCAGTATTGTGAAAATATGCGTGATTATCTAGCATTTGCATTGAAAAACTCAGTTTTGACAAAAACAACTATGGGACCGACATGCGAAGAGCGGCAGTAAAGGAGATTGTGCTTAATCATTTTGAGTCCAACCATAGATTTATGGCGGCTGACATGCTGTGGACAAAAGATCAATACGTTACACGATCGTTGA